TCCAAAATGCCATCACTGAAATCAGCTTTTGTTCCCACCACTCCAGGGACAATGAGCATTTCTCGAATACCTGACACAGCCTCATGCCTCATCTCTGCTCTGGAGAAATTTCCATCTTCCAGTTTTTACTGGAACCTTTCACGGTTTGAGAGGCTGATCATGGAAATAAAGGATTGTCACTTTCAAATTCTCCTAGAATAATTTTCTCTAAAGTTACCAATACTTCTAATGTCCTCCCTTACTGGCTAAGTTGCAGTTGAGTGATACCAGTCCCCAGCTACAGGCATATATGAGATATTACACACGATGTTCCTGGCTCTGTCTATACTTGTAAACTGAACAACGTCAGGCTCTGTCCTAAGCACTGGAGAATGATCATCTACACTCTTCTTCTAGTAATACTTAAATTGCAGCAAGGCAGTTACCATGGCATTGTGCAAAAGTCATTTGTTGTAACCTGTCTAAAATATCTCAGATAGGGGATATTTATTTGCTGTGGAGATCTGTTTAAAATATTGCCTCATTTTAAGTGCAACAGTGTCATAGTTCTGTTAGGCAATCTCCATTTACATCTGTGAAAGGAGAAAAACACAGCAGCTATCATAAAAGTGTTGCAAACTTCCGTTTGACTCAGTTTACAAGAGTATCAGCAAAACCCCAATAGAGAAGATAATTACTTTTCACAGCACTGTCATTTGCATATGACAATTAAATCCTTACAGGTAAGCATGTGGTCTTTCATGACCCCTGCTGTATGCACTCCACTTGTGGTATGAAGCTGCAATATTACAAAGGTTAAAATACAAAAGGAAGTGCATTTACAGAAGAAATGTTGGTAAAGGATATAATATTCATTACTAAAGTCAGACGATACATCATTTGAATGCTTTTGAATGCTAAACCTTTTGTGTAATTGTACATAATGTAACTGCATGTATATAACTGTCCATTGCAATTATACTATTCAAAATCTTGAAAAAATTACAAAACAATCCCACCCAAAACACCCAGACCTTACTGAAGGAGTGCTAGCATAGCAGTACAGATGCACACAGAGCAGAAGGGGATTTTTGGGAGGTTAAAGCAACATTGCCTGCTGCCACCAACGTGCACAAGAGAGTGTGCCAGCTCTCTGGATCCCCACCCTGCACTCTGGTGTCACAGCTCTCCACATCTCCAAGCTCATACCGATTCATTCTGTTCAATATGTGCCTATAATAACGAGTCCACTATTGCCATTTTAGTGTTCATTCTCAAATCTGTGTTGTATCTGTACAAATTCGTACTAGAGATCCTGATATTAATAGAAAAAAAGTGGAGTGTAGAAATAGGCATCCCACAAGATGTTCAAACAAGCAGCTTTGGCAGAAACCGCTGTAGGGAAGGGAAGGGTGGTTCCAGGAATTGGGAGTATAAATTCTGATTAGGGCTGGGCTGGTATTTCCCACTTCAACTGCCTGGTTTTCTCTTTAATGAGGAAATAGGATTTTTACTTTTGCCCTCACTCAATGAAGAATTAAATGGGAACAAGGACCTGCCTTCACAAATAAGCTGACCTGAATGTCAACTGGGGTACTACAGTGTTTTCAACTCATACCTGATCTTGCTGTAAAAATTGTTGTACTTAAACTCCAACTGAATATAATTGTCAAAGGAAATACAGCACTTAATTCTTTCAAATGGTAAGAGAAAAATTACTCCTTTCTGAACATGCTCTGGGGGGTCTTCACTCCTTGCACATGTGCCACAGTCTAAAACACTAAGCAAAGAATAGAAGATGGAGATCCTGAAAAACAGTCAGCAACAGACATATACGTTTCTGAATTAACACTGGTATAGATGATTTAGTCATTGTGGTTTTCATTCAGTCGAACAGAAATCCGCTTACCTTAGCTCTGTTGATACATGAGTGCAAACTGATCTGTACCAGGGGATGTACACATATTTCATATGGAAATGCCACTTACAGGGTAAATACATGGTAGCTTTTCGCTCTATTAGTAGAAATTTGCCATTAAGCCCCATGTGAATTAAGAATCTGGGTCAAATTAAAAAACAAAGGAGGCAGGAACTGACACTAAAATGCAGTTAACACAAGAAGAGTCATCACAGGGAGGAATGGGGCAGAGGAAAAACGCCTAAATTATAGGTGGGAGAATGGCTGTGGAAATTAGCAATACCCAGTTTTATAGACAGAATGACACGAATCCCTTAGCAAGGTTCACAGTTATCCATCTAGCCTGGCAAGGTCATGGAGCAGATCCTCCCAGGAACTATGCTAAGGCATGTGGAAAACAATGAGGTGATTGGTTACAACCAATGTGGCTTCAATAAGGGCAAATCATGCCTGACAAATCTGGTGGTCTTCTGATGGGGTTACAGCAGTGGTGGACAAGAGAAGGGCAACTTTTTAACACCTTTGTCAGTGACATGGACAATGGGATTGAGTTCACCCTCAGGAAGTTTGCCAACACCACCAAGCTGTGTGGTGCAGCTGACACTTTGGAGGGAAGGGATGCCATCCAGGGGTACCTTGACAGGCTTGAAAGGTGGGTCCATGTGAACCTCATGAAGTTCAACAAGGCCAAGTACAAGGCCCTCCACCTGGGTTGGAGCAATCCCAAGCACAAATACAGGCTGGGAGGAGAATGGACAGAGACTAGTTCTGGAGAGAAAGATTTGGGGCTGTTCATGGACAAAAAGCTCAATATGATTGAGCAATGCCCACTGCCCAGAAGGCCGAACATGATTCTGGGCTGCATCAAAAGAGGAATAGTCATCAGACTGAGGAAGTGATTGTGCTCCTCTGCTCTTGTGAGACCCCATCTGGAACACTGCATCCAGGTCTGGGTCCCCAATATAAGAAAGATGTGGACCTTTTGGAACAAGTCCAGAGGAGAGCCACTAAGTTGATACCAGGGTTGGACCACCCCTCCTGTGAAGACAGGCTGAGTTGGTGTTGTTCAGCCTGGAGCAAAAAAGGCTTCAGGGTGACCTTAGAGCACCTCCCAGAACATAAAGGGGGCCAACAAGTGCTGGAGAGGGACTTTCCACGCAGGCACAGAGTGATAAGAACAATGGGGAATGGCATTAAACTGAAAGGGGGTAGAGGTTTAGATTAGATATTAAGGAATTCTTCACTGTGAGGGTGGTGAAGCACTGGAACAGGTTGCCCAGAGAGGTTGTGGACTCCCTATTCCTGGAAGTGTTCAATCACAGAATCACAGAATATGCTGAGTTGGAAGGGACCCACAAAGATCATTGAGTCCAACTTCTGGCCCTGCATAGGACCATCCCCAAAAGTCACATCATGTGCCTGAGAGTATTGTCCAAATGCTCCTTGAACTCTGTCAGTGACCACTTCCCAGGGGAGCCTGTTCCAGTGCCCAGCCACCCTCTGGGTGAAGAACCTTTTTCTAATATCCAACCTAACCCTCCCCTGACACAACTTCAGGCCATTCCCTTGGGTCCTGTCACTGGTCACCACAGAGATCAGTGCCTGCCCCTCCTCTTCCCCTCATGAGGAAGTTGTAACTGCAATTAGGTCTCCCCTCCGTCTCCTCCAGGCTGAACAGACCAAGTGCCCTCAGCTGCTCCTCATACAGCTTCCCCTCAAGGCCCTTCACCATCTTCGCTGCCCAGGCTGGATGGGGCCATGAGTGTTTTGCTACCTGGTCTAGTATAGTAGAAGGTTCCCTGCCCATGGCATGGGTATTGGAACTAGACAATCTTTAAGGTCCCTTCCAACCCAAACCATTCTATGATTTTATGATCTAGAGAGTCTTTAAAATGCAGGAACTCGTTTTCTTCTGGTTGCGTAAACTACAAGCTCTGCTAAATCTGATTATTTTCAGCAGGCTTTACTGTAAATTGTTCATTTCAGTGACAAGACTGCTTCGTGTTCATCACAAAGAGTCAGTTGTTGAGTAAAATGGGCTTTGAAACACAGAGATAATGATCAAGAGCTAAAATTATTAATAATAGATTTATGTGCTTTCATTCAGCTTAAAATCCCAATACTTCCCAAGATCAGACAAAATATATTAGCTATGGAAAAATGCCAGAAGAAGTATTTAATCTTTAAGAAAGAGATAAAAAGATAAAGCTAGTGAGTGATTCAGTGGAAGGATGAGACAAAGGGGGAAATTAATCCAGTCAATTAATGATGCATGCTCCTTCCTTATGCCCTACCACATTCATAGAATCATCTGGCTGGAGAGGTCCTCTGAAGTTTATTAAGGCATTCCTCTTCCTCAGGTAAGGCTCCACTACACTTACAGGTATGTGGATATCTGTACCTGCAGATATTTTATCTGACATCACAAGTCTCTTCATGGACATTGTGCAACCTCCCCAGGTAAGCCTGTACTGCTTCACTGTCCTCCTGCATCTGAAAATTGGTCCTTTCTTCCTGGAATTAAATTAAATTCTCCATTTTCACACCTGGAAACATGGAGAACACAAATATAAAAGGCTGCTGCAAAACAAGACAGAGTTAAGTGAAAACTGTTATATCCCCCCTCACAACTCTTCCTGATGCTGGCCATATCAAATCATACCTACTTTAAGCTCCACAGATAAATGAACCCCATGAGTATAAAAATGTATATATACATTTTACGCACACCTGCTATGCATGCAGGGGAATATTTTTAAATCACATTTCATTATTTTGTTCAGATACTGAAAATGAGCAGTGTGGGGTACAGTAAATTCTTTCACTTGTTTTTTTAAACTGGGGGATGCTCTTTATTTCAGAAAATTATACCATCCACAGCAGCACAGAATGATTCTTGGCTTGGTAACAGCATTTTTGAAAGAACATCACACAAATAGTTTTGGTTCAATGTTTGTTGAATGACAAATGGCCTAACTGAAGTAAATCATATTACTTGTGGAATAAAAAAGTATTTAAGTACAGGTGACATCTCAGATCCAGGTCATTCCTTTATCTCATATTTCACTCACATTTAACCTCTATCTGTACATTTATTTATAGATAATTTTAAACTGATTCTCATCACTAAGTTCTCATATGTATGAAACAATCAGGATTTCTGTGAGGCTACAGCATCTGATCACTCTTACCTTAAGAGTATGAACCTTAAATGTCACAAAGGATCACAGCAGCTGCTCACCTTCTTGGAATGGCAATTCTGGATAAATACTGATTCCAGTAGTATGGAAAATGAAGTATGGAAAAAAGATTAACTGAAAAAGGGTTAATGCAACCAGGGCAACACTTAAGAAATGCCTGCTTTGGTTGCATAATAAAGTTAATCCATTTCCAATAATGTTGCATTAATATACCAGCTTCTACTGAAACTTTGAATCCTCCTCCAGATGAAAGCCAGTTCTGATAATGGTATGGCCAAACATCTGGGGACCAGAGCGCTATGAGAAGAGCTGTGTAAGAGCCTAGCCAAAGGCCTGCCTGACTTTGCTTGGGAGCTGCATCGCCCTTAGTACTCACCCAAGCTATGCTGCAGTTGTGCCATGGACCTCACAGATTCTGATTCGCTCACTTTACCTTGGATCTGCCTTGTCCTTGCAAACTTATTTGCTCTGCTGGCTGAATGTCACTGCTGTCATCCTACAGGTGACTGCAGGACTGCCCTCCAATCAGGGAGGTCACTGCCCTTGTCATTATCACCCTGAGCTCTTGCCAAAGAGCTGCCCACTTTTGCTGCTCCCTAAAGCCTCAAAAGAAAGGCTTGCAAGGAATCCTTATTCCCATTTCACCAAAAAGCTCTTGTGCTCGAGTGCCAAGCAGCTTCGTACAGCCCACCAACTACAGCTCACCATGTTCCAGAGTTCCAGCACTGGACACTGAGGAGCCTTTCCTCACTGCCAGCACAATGTAAGTGCATGAAAACCAAAACGCTGACCAAAGCCACTGTCAGTCAGAAGAATCTCAAACCAGAAGAAATACACTTTTTTAATCTGAAAGTTAACCATTTCAAACTGATTCACTACTACCCTGCAGACCAACCACATTTTTTTTTTACTGCTCCTGATAGCCCACAAAATCACTGCTGAAATATGGATGCCTTAAACCATACATGCACCTCTAGCTCTTGATCAAACGTAGTGGGATTCAGACCTACCACAAGAAGGAGCAAACTCCGCCAAATTCCAGCTCTTACAGTGACAGTTCTGTCCACCCAGTCCCCAGCTCTCCCAATATCAAGCACAATGGAGGCAAGTTTCCACTGTTAATCTTTCCATGTTCAGTACACCTGAATTGCACACAGATAATTTCTAAGAGATAATAAAATGCTCCAGGGGAAAGAAGTTGCACTAGTACAAACTTTAACTTGTCATTGCATTTGGATTTCAAAGGCTTGAATGTCAAGAGACAAGACTCCAAAAAGAGGGAAATACCCTGAAGCAAACACAACTACATTCACATTTTCTCAGTGCCTAAGGAGAAGTAATAATAGTGGGTGAGACTATTACAGCATGGGTGAGACTGACAATGGAATACCGGGTAGTTCTGTGCTAAATAAAAAGCATGAGAAGGTTACGGACAACACAGAAATCTGACAGCTAGAGGTAAAAAAATAGGTATTGAGAGATTCATCCTTTAGTTGAGAAAAAGGACAGAAGTGATGATTGCAATGTATGTTTTTAAAGATAAAAATATCACGTGTAAAAGGCATTTTTAAACTAAAGGTAACATAAAGCCAAAGCCAGATTTGAAAAACAGAATTGTGTGTCATCCTTCAAGAACCAGAAAAATTTATTGAGCCCCTGTAAAGATAAGATTTTAGACAAAATAATTTACTCTTGATCTTCTATCTAAGCAGTCACAAATAAAGATTTCAGAAACCAAAATCCTCAGCTCTTAAGTTAAATAAAAGACAGGCAGCCTCACTGTATACATAAATTCTTATAGAGAAAACATCCAAGGTTACACAATAACCAGTTGCTGGTGATTTCTGCAAAAATACTGTTCACACTGGACCATATTCATAGTGTCCTTTGGTCAGTACTTTTACTTTCATAAACTCTTCAGTAATTAACACAGGGCTTAGAAAGTTCTGGTTTTGTGTTCATCAATGAATCAAAATACAAATTCGTTGGTACTCTGTCTAAAATTGAAAAAGCCCCTTTCTCAAATGAAAAATGAGACAAAGAATTTTCTTGAAAAATAACACGAAGTAATTCAATGAAACAGTCGTCCTCGTCCACGTTTGCTCTTGAGATGATTTGCAGAACGCCTGAGAGTTTTCCTCTCTTGACGGTGTCGTTTCTCAGCTTCCTGCTGTTTCCTTTGCTGCTCTGACTGGAATATTAAAACAAAAATAGACTCAGGTTCTTGTAAACTTGCACCTCATTGTTCCAGTATCAATATATCATGTCAGAATTCCATTAGGAAAACATGGAAATGTCACCACAAATTTCCCCATGCTGTCTTGTCTTATACCGTACTTGGTAGTTCTGGGTATCCCCAGGCGCTATTATTCCAAGTTTTTCAGGGCAAATGTTTAACACAAAGATACCAAAAGCCAGTGAATAAAGTAATGTATTTCAGATAAAAAACAATGTTTAACAATACACTCCGGAATTTATATTTAGTTCCCTCAAGAAGGCAGATCCCAATTCAAGGCTACTTAGTATATACTTTGGTTAACGAGTTCAATATGTTAACTATGTTCAATATTTGCACAAATTTATTTCAAAAAGACAGCATAATTAGTTAAATTTGCTGAAGCATACGGGTTTTTTAAAATGGGTTCTGACTTAGGAGTTCTTGAAAGTGTTTTATATGCTGTATGCAATTCTAGAAACACTTTCCACATGAAAACAATTTTTAATTTCTGCTCCTGTGGCACGTGTTCTAATAATGTTTCTCCCCTTCATCAAAAACATGTTGAAAGTGTTTAATTTACGTACCATATAAACTACTATTTTCTTTGGAAGACTAAGGCTTCTCTTTAAACCTAGCATGAACTGGCACTACCCAAGCTCAGGCAACTGTCCATGCTAAAAAGTACTATAGCAATTCCAGCAATTTCAACATCAGCACAGAACAACTGAATTGAGAGTGAGATAGAATCACTACTACTGTGTATGCAGCTGCATTCCCACTGCATCTTGCTCTGTAATCAACAGCATTCAAATGCCAGCCTACCTCTCCCTGAATCTCCCATTCTCAGACCATTTAAACTTGAGCTAGAGATATGCCTGCATAGACAGCATTTTGGCTGAGGTGAGGTAGGAACCAATTTACCAAATGTAGCAATAAGCCCATATCGGTATGAAGGCAGTGAAAGCTAGTGGTCTTTAGACTTTGATGAAATTTACTGATTCCCATTTTCACTGCAAGCAGAACAAGAAATTCACTATTTGAAAATATAAGTAATTTCTCTCTGTCTCTATAGCTCTTCTGAAACAGCCAAGAAAAATCTCAATTAAGTTCACGTTGACTGCTACTGATAGTGGACTGATCTTGATTTGCATCAGAAACTTTGTGGTTTGGTTTTGGGTTTTTTGTTTGCTTTTTTTTTAAATGTCTTCCATACCTTCCTAGTAGTGTAAGTACTTAGGTATTTTAGAAACCCTGCTATTTTGTTAGATCTATTTGCTATAACAAAGCAAACTGAAATTGAAAACTAAGCTGCCACACTGTAGGAACCATGTTCAAATCCTCTGAAAACTAAACTGTGAAATATCAACAACAAACAATTTCATTATTGGATCTATCAGTGGTTGCTAGGCATTTGGGAGGTTGACAACATACCACACCTGCAGCAGCCAAGTTCAGTCTCAATTCCACTGACTAGAAGTTTGAGTGATACCAACCTTAGGGAAGAACAATTCCCTCCCAGACTAAATCTTTCCACCTACTCATAAATACATCTGCCCTTTAAGGAAAAGGCATCACAAAGTGTAAGTTGATGACTTGAGTAAGACCAAAATCTCTTTTTTGGCTTGTCAACTACAACTCTTTATTCTCTGAAAAGGAGCATAAAGACCGCATAGCATGACTTCTTCCTAGCTCTACCTGCTCCATTCCTTGGGACTTCAGAATATATACACAGGGTCTGTTTCTTTGAGAGAAGACTTGTGAGTTTTACTTTGTTGTTCTGTTGATAGGAGAAAATATCTCCACTGTAGATGCATTATTTTTTTTTCAATCAGATATTTAAAAATATTTTTACGCAAATGACTACAATGTACATATTTCAATAAAGCAGTATCAGTTAACAGTCAGGAAAAGAAAATCCATAGATGTTAGCAGCACAATAATTAAAAAAACCCTGAAAGCTATATCTTATCTGATGGAATCAAGTAAAAATGGCATTCTGAACCACTGCTATGCCTGTCTTCTTCCACCTTACTCCTAAGTCTTCACAAAACTGTTACAGTGACAGTTCATTGTGCACTACTGCCTGCAAGAAACCTTGTGGCTTTACACTTTCTAAGTTAAAGCTACTGTAAAAAAGACTGTGCTTTCAAAGTCCTGCAAAGCCCATTTAATTAGTTGCAAGACATTAACATATCAGTTACAGAGTTGGTAAAATCCCCAGAATGGTTACCCTACATGGCACTGGCACTGCAGAGGAATTTGTGACTTGACTCCACAGTCAACACATTTTAAATTCCAGAAACACAGGAATCAATAACAGATGAAAATGGACATCTGCAAGCAGATAATAATCAAGTAAAATAAGTAAGGTAGAAACAGTCGATAAAGCTTTTTTTTCTTCAGGCATAACCAATGTGACAATGAAATAACTACGGAGCCATTCTTGTGGCAGTGAGAATAATATTTGACAACTGGTAAGGAGAAATGTATTACAGCAAAGAGGCTTACCTGAGGAAAATCATTTTTAACTGACGTAAATTTTGTCAGCTCAAGTATATTAATATATAGGTCTTAAGATTTTATAATGTGTCCTTTCCTCAGTTCTGAAGCAATTTTCTAGTAAAAAATGCCTACGTGTTCCACAGCAGTAGCAGATGCACACATGCATTGAACTCTCTTCACACTATAAAGTAATAGTGTGTCTGCAGTTTACAAAAATCTTTAGGCTGGGAAATCAAAAGCCTTGGTAAAGGGTAGATAGGCAGCAGTCAACCACATACTTCAAATGGAATTTGACAACTAGAACAGGACCAGGACTCATTCCTGTGATGCATGTTACACAAGTTCAGTGACAAAGGCAGTTGGGAGCTCTGTTTTTATCATGCTGAGACCAAGCAACCTACAGCATCCTGCCTGCATTTGGACCTGCAGACCAAGATCTGATCAGTCCTGGCACAGAAGTCAGGCAAGGTCACAAGCTTCTGGTGGTGTGCCTGCAAATAAATTGTTAAAAGACACAAGCCATTATTTTCCACCGGAACATAAGATTTTATGAGTGTTGCTTGAGTTATAAGGGATAAACACACTGAGTACTACCGGAGGCTTTCATTCTCTTGGCAAGAACCTGGAGAGTTGGCAGCTTATAAAGAAATGAAGAGGGACATTTGCTTGACGGTTTTAAAGTTCCTGTTCTTTCATGCAAAAACTAAAGTTATTTGTGTATTATCTTTAAAATTATATATATATAGCTCACCTTCTTTAATTTGAATGTTGCCTGTTTGCTGCCTACTGTGGTATCAGACACATTGAGTGTGCCAAGTTTTTCTTCAAGCTTTAAACGATCTTCAAGGGTTTTCCTGCAGAGAAAAATGAACATTTAGTCCCTATATTTGTCATCTTTTTACTATAATAAAGGTTGATAACGCAGTCAAAACTAATCTCAATTTCTCTCAAACTAAAATGTCACAACTAATAAAATAAACATTCAGGAAATAAAAAAGACAAATTCAAATAATTTCCTCCAGATAGTACTTTCAGTAGAAACACTTTTAAAATCTATGTAAATTTCATTGGTTTTGCTCCTAAAAAAGCAACATAACTCTAGTTGAGAAAGAAACTACATCCTTCTATTGCCATAGTTTTCTACGAAATGTCAGAAAAAGTTGGGGATATTAAAGTCTGGTAATAGACACATGCACAAATTAAAAAAGTAGGGCTAGATATATAAAATTTTCTTGAAACCTCATAATTTCTGAATTGGAAACGTTTTTGAGGGAAGGAAGTAATCTTGACTATAAATCAGAATAAATTCATCACAGAATGAATCATTGCACTGACAGAGACAAACTACTTAATCCAAATACAAATGACTGTTCAGACATTATGCCCACAACAGTCTTTTTCTGCATAAAAGAAAAATATAAATAAGTGAATGTGATAAATAAGACAGACCCTGGCCCCAGAGAGGAGCTCCACAGGAGCACATGACTTCAAGCACAGTGATTATCACTGAGTTTCTGTAAGCAAGCTGGCAAAGAGCCTCTCACTCAGGCACCCAAGTCTAGCATTTCTGTGAAGGAGGTAGCTGTTGTGGCTGAAACTGATACTGTTTTCAGCTCTTCTCCACTAGAAGCTAAAGTCCCTACAAAGGCAAGAGACATGGAAGTGCCCCAGTTGCTCCAGGTTGCAATCTGATACTCAGTATCATGATTACTGACTTCAGTTAAGTTGGGTCGTAACCTGGAAGAACTGAGGCATGGAAATACACCTTGTTCCCACACAGCCTCCAGCTCAGGGGTGAGGCAGGCAGGCAGGCATGTAGGGATGGTGCTGGCTTCAGCCAGCCTCCCTAAAGGCACCTGTGAGTCCTAACATAGCTCATCCTTCTCCTATAATGTAGGTCCTACAAGTAACTAACACCATCTTAAAATACAACGTGGCTTATAGGATCAAACTCACTCTACATGTGCTTAGAAAATATTCTGCTAACTGTAAACAAAATTTGATTCTGCAATTTGAGATGCTATTAGTGCCTCACTAGCACTTTATGAAGAGGGCCAGAAGACATTTTTTGTACAAGTCTGAAACTGGAAAATAAGTCATCATAAAAACACAGACGATTAGCAGCCACCAAAGTCAATGGCATTTACTGTGGATGAAGGACTCATGGACTGTGTCCTATGCTTTAAGTCTCTGAAGTCCACTGAATTTTGGTTAATGAGCCATTTTATGTAACAAAGACTTTTCAGATTAATCATGAAAAATTACTGTCAAGAATTACTTTATTTCTCATGACTAGGTACTTTGATTGTATTTTTTTTGGTAGTATATTTTTCATTGAGTACATGTAAAAACTTGTTCCATCTGTGTGAATCGGAAAGACAAGCTAAGCCTTAGAGCTAACTGTGGCAGAAGATCAGTCACCAACACTGTAGTGGGATTTCTATGTTCAAGTCCCATTTTTCTCGCCTTTGAAAATGAACTGGAGAAATATGGCTACTACCCAGCAATTATTTAGCATGACTGCCTAGATACTGCTTCAGTCAGGAGAAAAGTTAAAATGAGGAGATACTAGCAAAATGATGTGGGGTTGCAATTTTACTGCATAAATACAGGTATGTGTCTGTTTATCTGAAAATGTGCAGAACTCAAGTGATAGCGAACTGCACGCACTGATACACAAACACAACAGCTGGGTTGTTTGGTTTGGTTTTTTTTTTTACATCTTCCTCAACAAATTAATTTAAGGGATACATTTACAGTGTTATTATAAGCAAATTCCCCTGCTCCACTGTAAAATACAAACAAAAAAAATTACCAATGCACTTCTTTTTTTGTCTTTATTAGGAGGAGAGTTTTTCAGGACTTTTCCTGTTGTTTTACTTTAGCAATACCTAGGAATGTCAACTGTCCTTTTGTTGGCTTCCTTGGCCACCTCTGGACTGTCATACTTTTTATAAAATATGACTCCTGTAGTTTTTAGTTTTGATATGCTCTAACTTCAGTAACGTACTCTTTAAAGAGACATCGAGTAAATCAAAAAAGCTCTTAGCACACTGATAAAAATCCTTTCCTTTTATCCATTCCTTTTAAGTCACTAGGTAAGAAACTTATGCTGTAAGCAGAGGATTTGCAGGTTTTCTTGTCCAAGTGCAAAAGGGGAAAATTAAACACAGACAGATTTGAGACAAGGCGTTTTTTACAACCATGAGTAAATTTTGCAGATTTCCTGCACAGAGAAATGCGTAGACTGTTGGTCTAAGAAGAAATTTATAGTACGCACCACCGCTTTAGAAGTTGGGCTTGGAGCCGTGCTGAGTCAGGAACATGTCAAAAGAAACACCCAGTTTTATATAAGTCATAAACTGTTTCCTCAGGTAGGACATTATACGATTAGAGAAAAAAAAGAACACCTAGCCATTAAATGCATAGTGAGGGTATTAAGGTACTTAATTATACTGGTCACAGACCGTCATTCCATAACTTGGATATATCAAATCAAAGACAAACATGCCAGCCTCACCAGATGGTACATGCCACTACAGTCTCCAATTTTCAGTATGTTACTTGAATTACTTTTATGCTGACTACTTATCACTGAATAAGGCCAGCAGAAAATATATTTTCTTCATAAAATTCTAATACATAAAAATGCTTATTAACCAAACAAGGTAGCTTGTAACACATGGTAAATCATTATGATTACAGTATCATATCAGTTATATGTTATACGAAACAGATACCAGCTGTTAATTTTTAATTTGAGGAATACCAAACTCCACACTAAGAACAATGCTTGGATGAGCACAAAGGGGTCAGTGAATGTTGAGCTAATTGCTTAGACAACACTAAAAAAACCCCATGCAAGACAATTCAATGACAGCAACTCAGAAAACAAAGGATGTAATGCTATCCCATCCATTTTTTTTGGTCATTCTCTTCTGTTCTCAAATTCTTCTCCTTTTTCTTACATTTTACATTATATCCCATCTATGCACCTACCACACAGAGGGTATCCATTAGCAGCAAATCTTAAGATAGATTCTCTTTTCTTTAAAAGCAGTTTTTTAAAAGTCTTTTGATGGTTTATGTTACCACTGATATTCCTTCATCTACTGGACAGGCCTGTGATATTTGCTTTTGTTTTCCCTGGGCTGAAGCAATAATCTTTCTCCCTTAAAACCACATTAAAGAATTTACTTTGCCTGTGTCACACTGTACTAATTTTCTCTAAATGTTTCTCTTCCTTACACCTGTCTTGGTTTATTTACTTAACTTTCCACACCCTTGTTCACATTTAAGCCTTGTATGTTTTGCATAAAATGCAATCTTAGTCCTTCAAGTGAGCGACCTTGAGAATTTTCTTTAGACCTTAGCAGCTAAATTTGTGCAAAAGAACAGCACGTGAGTAGGCTGCAGCCATACAGCCTTTTAATGAAGTATTTCAATGGCACTGAGAATACACTGTCATTTGACCACTGTCTCAGGCTCATTCCAAGTTACAGCTAACGTAACTGTAAACCTAATTACAATGTAAAAAAATATTCTTAACCTATAATACTTTGTCAGAATGTCCAGAGATGATTTTCTCCTGACAAAGGAAAAAAATGGACAAAATTAAAAAGATGCTTTATCTTCTGGAACAAATTAAAAAAGAAAGATAATCAGAAGAAAGTTAATGGAAAAATCTAAGCAAGTTAGAGTCCAGAATAAGTGGGTATGTTCAATAAAAAGAACAAAATAAAATTCCTATGTGATAAAAAACAGCTAAGGAAAACACAGGAATCAGTTCTGCAAAACTGCTATAAATCTCAATTTATAAAGGGACAGGCTGAATTTTTTATCAAGTGTTTCTTTACGTGGCTTCAGAAAAGTTCATGATGAAACAACTAGGTTGTAGTGTCAGTCATTAGTGACATAAAGAAACAGGCCCATCATATTTCACTTTCTTTTCTTTAGCTGTATAATTTCATTCTACATACAAAAAGTAATGATTATTATGAGATCCATCCAGCACAACAACCTATTTCCAACATTAGTCAAAATCCTGCTCTGCATCCACTGTGCTGCAAGAACTCTGAAGCTACCTACAGTCTTGAAAGGTTTTAATATTAGTGGCTGTGCTTCAAACAGTAAAAGGCTATGAAAGCTTATCTTCTGAAGGGCTCAACCCACCTCTGAAAAAAGCAAATCTATGAGATTTGCAGGCATTGAGCACCTCAAAGCCAAGTCCTTTACATTGATGTGTTGTTTCTCTAGTTTGACATGCACTTTACACAGTATCCATTACTTTGGCTGATCATCAATTTAAAGCATAAAAAACCAACCAACCAACCAACCAACAAAAAACCCTAAACAAAGCCCCTCCTAGTCTGGTATTTTGTATTGCAAAACGAAAACCAGAAATAGTACATCCTGACAATGAGGACAGTGTAGATTTTGAAAACTTCTAGATGCCATAAAGATACCTAAACAAAACAATTTTTCTTTCACCATCTTGACCCCCTAAAACAGTGACTATTCATGCAGCATTCTACATTGTTGTAGAAGGTCAGATAAGGAACATCCAGACTGTCAACCTCATACTGACACTGGTGGAGAAACATAACCAGTCTCACAAGACATCAGTGTTGTTACCTGTGAAAGAAGCACTTCACAACACTGAATAATGGATCCCCCAATCTGACTCAAAATATTAATCTCTTACTCATCTCATCTGTGTTGCCTCTCTGCCCTACTTTAAACAGTATATTTGTTTAACTACAAACCAAAGCTTTCAACAACTATGTCACTTGAGGTTATATCCCTGGATTGCCAGATGTTGCTTTACTTCCAAGCCAAAACATCACTAGCCTGCACTGCAGGGAAATACTTAAGAATTGCCCACCCCCAGCTATTAAAATAGGAACATTAGTCTTACTTCATTAATTTTTGTTTTTTGGCAGAGTCTTTGAAGCTTCTGAATTCCTCTCCTTCTTTAATCTCAAAAAACTGAGGTTTCAGTAATGTTTGCTGATCCTCCTTGGACCTTTCCCGCCGCTTTAGTTTTTCCTCTTGGCGTAAAAGCTTGCGCTGTTTCCTGACCTCTTCAACCCAGCCTTTTTCATCATCTGAACTCTCAGAACTTTCTACATCACTTGCTTTTCCTTCTGGTTCTTCCTCCTCTTCCTGCAGACAAAAATAGTATAAAATAAGAGATCATCAACTAATTTTCCTTTCAAACCATTCCTGCAATTAGAATATGTGACAGCTTTTAGACACAACTGAAGAGAACTAAAAGCAGTAATAGCAGATGAAGCTGAAAATATAATATGAAGTTGTTACTATCTACATATTTTATGTTTTTCAAATAATTATTCATGCAGATCCAATATTGTTCACATCTAAAAACTAGATTAGAATTATAAATTAGACTTAATTACTGTAGCTGATAAAACATTCTTGCATGCCTCAGTCTTTCTGGAGTGAAAAGTCGGAATGCTTGAAACAAAGGAAAAAAAAAAATCTATGGAGTTTTCTTAATCCAAATGGAAAATATTTTACCTCTCCTATTGCTTCCAGTTCCTCTAAGATCTTCAGCTTCCTCTTTCTTTTCTCACTTATTTTAGAAACGAGTGGATTAAGTAGTCTAAATTCTTCACTCTGCTCATCCACCTGGAAATCTGGATTCTCAAACATGACCTTAAAACGATCATCTTTGAGAAGGCTGGGTAGATTCTGGAAAAGAAGTAAAGCATGAGCAAGTTAGACAATTCACAAAAAGACATTAATAAAATAAGTAACACTTTTTAAAATTAAACAAAATTCAAAACCAGCATATGAAATGCCGGTTGCTTTATCCTTCCAGGTCAAATAAAAATCAAGATACATGCTTATTGTACTTTTACGAAGATCGTTCTAAGCTACCTGTAAGCAAGACTTTTTTAATGCACGCTACAGACACCTTAAATACACAATTACTAATATTTTTGAATTAATGTTTCTCATACATTCAGCCAGCTAGTCTGGAGATATGCTGTTATCTATTGACTAATCAGCAGTACCTCCAAGGCAAATATGTTGCCTGACAGGGGTGATTCTACAACATGTAAAACAAATTATCAGGGTAAATGTCTTTATGCAATGGTACTATTTTACTGTAAATACTTAAGAGGAAGTGTTTCTATACATATTATAACACCTTTTTTCACTACCTTCTTATACAAAATGGAGAAGACAATTTTATTCATGTCAAAGTAAAATAAACTCAATGTAAGTTATGCTATTGGTGAATTAGGAATAGTTCAAGCTACAAATTCAGGTTACGTGAAGACCAATTGTTGTTATTTTAAAAATCACTGCATTCAAAGCTTTTTATTACAAAAAGCTGATCTTTTAACACTGTCAAATTTATATCAGCATATTAATCTCCTCCCAGCATTAAATTTTCAGTGTTACTTCAGAAAGCGGAGGGTGGGACTAAGAATACAGAAAACAAAAAGTGTAAATTTCAAACACAAAACTGGTGCAAATGTGTCACTTTCAGCCACACAGCCAAAAATTAAATCCCAAAGCCTAAAAAAAATTGTTTGTTGTAAGACTCTAATGCCATTTCAGGAAAATAATCAAAACATGCATTTTTATGTATATTCCTTTTTAGCCGATTTAATAACACAAACTCTATGTACTCCAAAACAAATCAGCCCCCAATTATTGAATTCTCATTTTCATTGTTACATTTGCTTAAGTCTGCATTTAAGTTTCACCACCATCTACTTTTTCAGTAGTTCACACTTCCTACTAACCCTAACACACAAGATTTCATTAGATGCCACATGCAGCTAATGTCTGCCTTTCATGAATGCAACATTCCTGTGAGAATGAGCACCTATGAAGTGCTACCTATAAAAAGCCTGCCCTCCTGTTAGGTATGAAACATTAACCCATTTCTTCCACTAAACTTCTCTTAAGATAGAAATGGATTATTTTTAACACCAAGAAGAATTGCTATTGCATAAGAGCAAACCATTTTGGCTAATCTATAAAATACAGTTAACTGTGTACGCAAATAAAGGCAATTGTGTCTTTAGTTTCATAGATAACATCAATCCTTGTTGTGGTCACACCAACATACCAACAAATGCAAACAACAGGTCTTGTTTGAACAGCCTTGGTATTGACTCTGCATTAACCAGTTTCTGGAGTCCTATGAAACCCATATCATCTTCAGAGTGAGTATTTCATAATTTTTAGCTTTAAGTTACTACACGGTCTTTCTGTGCTGCAGCTACAGTGAAGTCCCCCTTAAAGCCACCTACCAGAACAAATTATTTATGAAAAACAGAAACAATGGAATTTTTAATCTGTTTGGCCAAACAATAACAAATCAAACCTGTAAGCATTGCTATTTCTGTGCTCTAGGTTAGAGAAGCTTCCAAAGCAAGAGCTCACCTTCTGTTTCCTTTTTCTAGTCATCTGTTGCTCTTCTCCTTCTTCTTCAATCAGTTTGAGTGCAAGTTCTTTATTGACTTTTGGAAGTTTCTAACAAGAGGAAAGCAATTAATCAATAAATTAGCCTTTGACACATGTAACTGACATGCTTTACACTTGTAAGTGTGGTGAAGAGAGAATTCTTATTCATTCTTACAACTCTTGCTGAAAAGTTCCTTGACTGGTTCCAAATATTTCTAGATACTAGTAAAGCAACAGCATTCGGAGAAGATTTAAGTAGGATTTCTGTAAAATTTTTAACTTGAAATGCATCAGCTTTAGTACTTTAACAGCAATTCTTTCTCTTCGTATGTTGAACAAATTCCATCTAGAAAGCTACCAGTTACAAACACAACACGATTTTCATAGATCTTTTTCCAGAGTATCATGTTTTAATGCTTTAAGTCATTTAGTATTATGATAGAAGTAGAAACTGCAAGTTGTACTAGTGGGTTAACTGGTCAAGTGGCAAATGTGATAAGAGCTGCTCTTTTACAGTCTGGTATCAGTCTTTTGGAATCAGACATGGGAATTTTATGGTTCTATTCCAGAAATTCTATAAACTACTTTGTGTCTCTAATGATAAACAGAACCAAATCCTAAGTCATCACATCTCTAAGATACACTTAGGAATATATTCCTCTTTATGAGTAGTTTTCCCAAAAGTATACAAATTGTTTGTAGGATTTACCTTTAGTTGAACTCTCTGTGCACGTGTTTCTTCTATCTTCTGTCTTATTTTCTCTCTTCTGTATTCTTCATAGGCAAAAGGATTGGCCATCATTTTTGCCTTTGAACAGGTAGGAGAAAGTAAAAAGAAAATACCATTAGTATAGGACACAGTCTGTTATTTGTAGGGAAAAAAACCACACAACCAAAATGAAAACCACAAAGAGAAAAAAGAAAACCCCACCACACATATTTTACTGTTAAGAATAACAGTTGACATGAATCAACATTATTTACCTTGTGATAAAGTCTTATGTCCATGAAAAAGCCATGCATATATGCTCTGAGCAATGTTGATCCAATTAGATGAGCAAGGCCTGGAAAAAAAGGTTCCAGAGCATTTTACAGAGCTTTCATATATAAAGAACTTTTATTCCAAGCTAGCCACTTCACTTGCCTGATTCAAGACAAACAAGCACTGCCAATGCAACACATCAATCCATCAGTCACATTCATCACATCAAGACTAAGTAAAACCACCAAAAAAAATTGCTTTGGCCAGAAAGAAATTTAAGCTTCTTCAGAGCAACGAAATCCATATTTCTTGCCATAATACATTACTGAGCACTTCTAAAAAATGCCCACATGCACTATGCTCCATAGGAGTTTACAAAGAAAAATTCCAGAGGACTTTTGTTTTTTAAAGTCCATAAGAGTTTGACAATTTCTTTTTTAGTGTGATATAGAGATGTTTTTAATTAAAGAGCTTTGCCTTAGGTCAAACCCGACTCCTAGTCTGAGGTAAATTAAGCAAACTGGAGCAAAACATTGCAATCAAAACATGTAATGGACAGAAAAAGGACTAACTACCTTGGGAGAAGCTTGCTTACCTTCTCTGCTATATGATTTTCAACATTCCAGTTCCTTGAAACTAGGGCTTCTATTAGCCCTAGAATGATTTCTACTTTCTGGAAATTTCTACATTCAGACAGGGTAGCCTTTGGCAGATTTTGCTGTGAGTTCCAACATTGTATTTGAGCATCTCAAAAATATTTTGAAAACCAAACCAACTTCTCTTCCTATGCCTTCCATGTAGCATCCGAAACCACACACCACAAATTCCTAGACATATTAAATCAGCAAATATCAATCACCTTCTTGGGATAAAAAGCTGAGAAATACAAGTATCTATCTTGCATCCGCTGGGAACCAAGGAACTTAGAGCCATCGGTCTGGAATATTAATAACCAAGAAGACTAAAGGAAACCACTGCCAGTGAATTTCTAACAGTGCTCACACATCACATCAGAATTACAAAATTTACATGTGCAAATGATCAAAAACTGAACAAAGAAGTCAGGTAAAGAGCATATTCAACTGTTTTACCTAAATTTTCAAGGTCTTTTCTGGTAACGAATTTGTAATCGTCATAAACTGTGCTCTCTGGATTCTCTTCCAGTTCTTCAGTCAAGTTGTCCAAGAAGGAGCACCATTTTGGGGCAGGTCCTAAAACCTGTGGATATTATGGAAAGTTGTAACATCGTGTATTATTACAGAAGAAGCCTAAAGTTATGCTCTCGGCTACTGTACTGAAATTAATCCCACTGCAGACCTTAAGAGTAGCAGTCAGAGAACACAATTAAATCTATTGCTTACATTACCAATAAATACTATAGATTATGTGTTATTTTAATTTAGGTCATTTGAGACCAACCAGGCTAGAGGTTTCAAGTTGAACTGTTTCATGTGGTCCTAGTCTGATAAATTTATTAAAAGCTCAGATCCAAACATTTTAGATAAAATTACAAACTAATGGCACTAGATAGCAACTAATCTGTAAAGTGCTGTTGGATCTTTAAGTCATTAGGTTCACTATGCAACCATGTTAAATCCTACTCTGCCCTAATCATTTTAATTAAAACACCACAGGAATATTTCATGTATTTTTATTCAAGGATAAACCCAGACTGTATGAACAGATAATGGGAAATATTGAAAAAACTTGCATATTTCCACCATGAGGCAAAGGACTTATTTGCAGAATATTTTGTAGCACTATCGATGTATTTTTCCATATAAGCTTCCTCCAGCTTCCTGAGTTAACAAATCGGTTCCCTTTACTTTTCCCTCCCGCTGTTCTGATTAAAATTCCTCTCTATCCTGACACATGCAGCCACTCTCAACTGTTCCAGCACTATTATTTCAGTAGGTGAGTTAGCTGAATGGAAAAATCCAACACTACATTTATCTCTCTAGAGCTAATCAGTGGACATTTTAGAACATTAAGTGACCAGCTAACTCCTGTAGTGGGACTTTTAATGATGTTTCTGATTTGTTTGCTAAAAATTCACATTAAAAACTCTGTAGTTCCCATGACATAGGAATGGTTGTGATTCAACAACATTTTAAGATCCCATTAAATTATGGAAACAACTAGAAGTGATTTCATATATATAAAATATATACAGTTTCTTTTAACATGATTGTGTGGTAACCATGTGAGATCATGCTGTTAACTTAAAAAGTGTGTTTCTACTCATTCAAAATTCTTGAAGACAACTACACACGAAAACTGTAAAACTGTGTTCTAGACCATAACATTCTACCCATTCTATCCTGTAACACTCTAGACAATAATATTTTATTCTAGCCCACTATTGTCTCTGTTTTAAATATAATTTATCTTCCTAAGATTTCAGCCCTAGCTGAGAACCATTACAAGTCAAATGAAAAATGGCACTTTGTTTTACAGTGCTGCATATTTCATTTCAATTACTAAGAGCTTCCAAGAAAATACCCAAGATGTCACTAACAGGAAACACTTTACCTACTTAATTAATCAAAACCCCATGTCTGCTCTAGGAATAAATGATAGATAACATTCAGATTGATTTCTTGTCAACATTACAGAAGCTTTTGTCTCTATCTTGTCTCCATCCAGATTTTAATTTTTTATTTCCATCAAACCCACATCTTTAAATACCAAGCTTTTATATTAGTAATAAAGCAGTCTAGAACTATTACATGGCTTCACGCCGCTCGAGAAATCAGTTATCTGTGCTTCATTACCAGACCATCAAAGCATGACTGGGATGAAGGAACCTTCTCTTAAGTTTACATATAGTTTTGTTTTGGATGAAGCCGTTTGTCCTTCTTAAAAAAAAAATCAAACTGCTTACTAACTAAACAAGACTTCTCTTGTAATAAAATTTAAGTTTCTCTGCTGAAGATTATTAGAGATCAGAGAATCCTCAACTCACATCCATTCCCATTAAAGTTTGTTCCATCTTGCTGACACATCATGTGAAGACCTCTATCACTCCAATAAACCTTTTCTTCACTTCCAAGTCTAAGACACCAACCGCTCGAGCTTTACAAAGCACAGGTTACTCATCAGAACTCAGGCCAATGCAACCAGTCAGGGTAATCCCCCAATGGGATCCTGATTGATGGAAATCTTTGAACAAGTAACTAAAGCAGAAGGTCACACTAATGAGGGAAAACAGTTTATCTGCTCTTCAGCTTAGCTCCACTCACTGTTCCAAGTATTCATATACTCAAAACTTGATATTGAGAGTAAAACCTTTCATCGGACCTAATCTGTGGCATGAAACACATAAATCTAAAAACCCGATTAATCATTATAATCTGTGGAGCAAGTTGGATGAACAGATCACAGAAAACAAAGTGGGGGAAATGAGATAACTAATGGAAAAAAACAGTGGCAGAATACCAGGAAAAAATAGAAAGTCCAACCATTATTCAAATTTCACATGTAAACCGACAGAAAGGAAAACCCTACAGAGATGTCTGTATATTTGATTACCTTATTTCCCTCTTTCCCACCCCAGTGAAAAACCACTTGCCTACTTATTCTAGGAGCTTTGCTTTGCATTTTAAAATGGAACATTTTTTAAAGCTTCGGAAGAAATTTAAAAATAGAAAAAGCAAACAATACCAGCCACATTGACAAAATCACAAACAATAAATGCCCTTCTTTTGCAATAGTAATTCTTTGCAGAATTTAACTGCTACTGCATATTAAATCCAGAGTGTAATGCTCCACTGTCGACCACCAGCAATCCCAGGATGCTAAGAGCATTCTGAAATGGCAGTCTCCATTATTCCTGTGCCCAGGTACAAATGCAACAATTGAGAGGGTTGGTCTGCACTGAGCCTCCAACGACACAGTGGGTTAAGTGAAACTGTCCTGTCCTCCCCCAGTTCATGAGTGTCCATACAGCAGGCATGCAGCAGCACAGGTGGGACCACTCAGGACCCCTTGGAGCTCCTGTCACTCAGCACTGGCACCATCTCAGCCTGGCGTGCAGTCCCTGCTAAAACCACCAAAACAGCCGGGAAGCTGTGGAGGTTGGGTAGGTCAATTAGTATCCTTGCCAATTTGGACTGGGAAGGTACAAATCTACCAGTGGCGGGTCCACTCTGCAGCCGACTGGCACTGGCTCTGCTGGACATGGAGGAAGCTTCTGGCAGCTTTTCACAGATGCCATCCCTGTAGTCCTCTGGTTACGAAAACCTGGCCATGGAAACCCAATACACCTCACCAACAGTGATCAAACCAGTATTTTTGCTGTCTTCATTATTACTCCGTTTTCTGTAGGATAACCACTTCTTGAGGCAATTTCTGCCAATTGCTGTTCAAAGTCAAGAAGATTGCTTTGAAAATATTTTTGCCTAACAACAGAGGAGCCTCACCTGAATGCTGGGCCCTACCAGCAGCAAAGGGTAGGATGCTCTGTGCTCTGCTCCCCTCCCAGTGCCTTCCTTCTTCACCAACTGGAAATAGCACCCATGAGGTGACTGAAGCACGGTTATCCCGCAGTGTCCCACCACCACACCACAAGACAGTGGCAGCTGGGTCATGCAGGCCCCCTCCTCCCCACAGCGAGGACAAACCTACCACTATGACACACCAGTAACACAAACCTCACCATGGCCTTTCGTCTTATTCTAAGCCACAAGAAGCAAAAATGTGGACTTCATAATTATTAATGTTGTGCTATCTAATGTCTACTTTTTCTTAGTACATATTAGAATATTTTTTAACCTTAGACACAGAAAATACAAAATAAGGCAATTAGTCTAGTGCACAACTAGCAGAGACAAGTCCAAGGCCAAACTGTTCAAAAATGGAGAAGCGTTGACAGAAAAATATTTTCTAAATATTGTAATATAACTTCAAAAATCACAGTTCTTTGTATTCTATTCTACAAGATGTTTGACCTTATAATCTTGTAGCACCACAAATATTAACATGGTACAGTAATGTTCTTACGGCCATGCCTAATTCCTGAGCACTTCTGTAGAAAATATCATCTTGTCATTGGTCTGTAATTCCCCTGAACTTAATGAACTCTATGACAGCATAGGTATTATATTCCCAGTCTATGACAGATGTTCCTTATCTTCACTCTGGAATGCCAGACAGCACTTGTACACTTTAAAATGCCACTCAACAATTTGACAGCCAGCTGCTGCAGAGCTTTTAGAGCCATAGAAAAACTGCCCTAATCCCAACTAGTACTAAACATGTTCAACAATTAAAAAGAAGCCCAGGATGTGTAGAAGCTTCCAGTCAGATGTCAAGAGATTTAAATCAAATAACAAGTATCATTAAGTATCTGTTTGAAGATTTCTGAGACCAATTCTACAGGAGTGAACTGAACAGTTGCTCTTTTCTTCTCAGGGAGTAAAGACAGGTTCTGTTTTGCAGGATGTTAAATAGTAAGTCCCTGGAAGACTTCACAAAAGGCAGCGACAAACTCTTCAGCAGTAAACAAGATGTTGAAATATATTAACATTCAAACAGCCAAAATCCCTCCCAGTCTTCATTGATGTATTTTAGCAATCAAAAATATGCAAAATGTTCACAGACAACATTAATCAGATTTGAAAATAATTCACTAGAATTTGAAAAGTTTAGACTGTCTCAATTCCCTCTAGAAGACTAACTTAATGTATGTGGACATCAATCAACCAAACAGTTCCAGAGGTTTGGAAAGCAGAAGTATTATCTGCCATGGCTGTACAAGACAGAAACACACGCTTTCACAGAAACTTCAGTTTCACAAAAATTAACTCTCTAACACCGTATCATGCCATACCATAGTTATACAGTTAGTAACAAAAAAGCATGAAAATACATCATATCACTGCTCTTGTGTATTTTAGATGTAAAACCTTCTTTCAAAAATCTTCCAACTGTTTATTGTGGTACCTTCTATAGATTTTAAGTTAGACTAAGACCATTACCAGGTAGCAAAAATGTACTAATTAAATCATTGACTGCCACACTATTTGAATAATGGTAATTACAACAAAAATAGCACATTTTTAAGGCCTTCAACAGGTACAGTGTATTGTGTAAAATTATTAATGACTGAGTGGAGACCTTTTGTATAACTCCAGTATACGTGAATATAAAGTGTAGCAAGTACAGTGAAGGTCTGCAAGAAGGATTTCTGAGACAGTAACGCCTGCACAAGAATAAAT